GCCTTCCTTGCGTCGGTCGAAACAGACCCGAGGTGGTGGGTCGCGTAGATCCGGCGAAGGAAAGAGCCGAACCTCCTGGTAGGTCCGGCCGAAGCCCTGGATGAGCTTGGACGGAGCTGTCGCACCCAAGAGAGGGGCCGAATGGGACTCCCGCACGTAAGAGGGACGCCTGCTCGTGAGGTAGTCGCGGGACAGGAAGAAACGGTCGCGTGAAAGAGCCTTGGACGCGGAAAGGAGTTCCGCCTGGACTGGGCTTTTAGCTCTCTGGATCTCTCTCTCTCTACCGCTCTCTATCTCTCGCTCTCTCTGTCGGGACCGGGACGAACGAAAAGCCACCAAGGCGTCGAATGCCCGTCTCCTCTATCTCTCCCGCTCCTTCTACATGCAAAAAGATCGCACTCGAGTGGATCTTCTGCCGTACCCGCTGAAACCAGAAGATTTGACTGAAAACAGAGCGGGATTTTAGAGGAAATCTAAGCCGTTTGATTCAAATCTTGATTTGAGATTTGAATTGAGCTAAGATTTGATGAATTGGGCTAAAATTGGGTTCGCGTTGGACCCAATTTGAATCGATTAGAGTCGATTCGGACCGAAACGGGTCAGATCGAGACAATTTTAAGAAATTGGCCTCGGATCGAGGCCAAAAAGTGCCGAATTGCGTCGCATTGAACTCGCCAACACTCGACGGGGTTCGATTGGTTTTGATTGGATTTAAATTAAATTAAGTTGATTTAATTTAATTAAATCGGGGTTCGATTTGAGTCAATTTCGTCTCGACGACATTCGATTGGGTCGATCGAGCACGATCGAGTCTAGTCGGGCTCGATCGGGGTCGGGTTGATACGAAAATATTCGTCAACAAAAGGACCCCCAATATGTGTGGTGAACGAAAAGAAGTGCGCCACACATATTGGCGTTGACCAAAGAATGATCAAACGAGATCTTCTAAATCAAATAGAGTATGATTTAAAAGAGAAAGAGAGATCTATAAAAGCCTAAACTTGGATTTAGGCAAGATCTACAAGGATATGGGGATTTCTATCTATCACCTTAAGGAATGAGTTTTAGATTACTCTTGAAAGAGAGTTTAGAAGTATTTTGTCAACTTCTAAAGAGGTCTCTAAAGACATTTGATATCTTTAGAGAGAATTTGATAAAAATAAAAGTTTTTGGTAACTTCTAAGAAGAATTCTAAAGACATTGGGTATCCCTAGAAAGATTTTGGATCCACTAGAAGTATTTTGACAACTTTTAAAAGAGATTTCTAAAGATATTTGGTATCTTTAGAAAGAATTTGATTTGATTAGAAGAAATTTGATAACTTCTAAAAGAGCTTAGGGATATTTTTCTATCACCTAAAGGCTAGGGGTATTTTAGCTACCACCTACAAAGCTTTCAAGGATGTTTTGGTTATCACTTGAAAAGATTAGAGACATTTGGTGTCTCTAAAGGGTCTTAGGGATATCTTGCTATCTCCTAAAAGTTAGGGGTATTTTGGCTACCACTTAAAGGGTTCTCAAAGATATTTTCACTATCATTTGAGAGGGGTTAGAAACCTTGAAGGTATTTGGAAGGTAATTGGCACCAATTAAAGGTAGACCTATAGAAAAGGTAATTGGCACCTATTGAAAAGCTCTAAAAGGTATTTTGGCAACCAATTAAAGGTAGAGTTTATCTTATTTTGGTAAGATAAAACTCAAAAGAGCTAAGGTCAAGAGTATTTTGACTACTCCTTAAGCCTTGAAGGTATTTGGAGTAAGGCTATCTATTTTGGCAAGATAAATCTTAACATTTGGGAAGACTAAAGAGTATTTTGGAAACAACTAAAAGTCTAGATTTGGGTAGACCTATAGATGTTCAATTTGGGTAGAACACGATCTAACGGAATGAGCTAGGAGAGACCTTAGAAGGTTTGAATTCTACCTAAACTCAAAAATTGATAAGAAGACTCCTATTTGGGGATGTCTACACTTAGCATTTGGTACTAAGATTTGAATTTGACTTTCATTTGGAGAAAGATTAATTTAAACTTTCCTTTTAGGGAAAGAAAGAGATGAACTTTCACTTGGAGAAAGATGAACTTGACTTTCCTCTTACAGAAAATTGAATTTTCTTTCCTTTTAGGGAAAGGTGAATTTTCTTCCCTTTTGGAGAAAGATGGAAGATGTGCAAGTTTGGACCGAGATTTTAATAATCCGGACCCAGTCCACAACCGGATGAAAAGAACATTTCCACTTGAAAGAAACATTCATTCATTGAAATTAAAATTTGCATACAATTAATTGTAATATTTCTTGAGGTAACGCCCATTGATAGGCAACATAGGACGTTCACCATTACAATCAATCAACTGGTAAGATCCACCTTGATAGGCCTTCTCTACCACAAAAGGGCCTTCCAAAGTAGGTTCGAACTTGCCACCTATTTTGCGATGGGCTATAATCGATCTGCGAAGAACTAGGACCAAGTCGCCAACCTTGAAAGTCCTAGGACGAACCAATTTATCATGGGCTTGAGCCATGCGGGCTCGGTACAACTCGAGGTTTTGTTGAGCAAGCAAACACTTCTCATCTAAACCATCGAGTTCCTCCAACCTTAGTTGGACATTTTTTTCACTTGTAACTTCATTATTTATTGCAATTCTAAGAGATGGGAGCTGTAACTCCAAAGGGAGAACCGCCTCCGCTCCATAGACGAGAGAAAACGGAGTGGCCTTTGTCGGGGTTCTATATGTGGTCTGATAGGCCCACAATGCCTCCACCAACTTTCATGCCATTGACGTTTGTTCTCATCTAAGGTCTTCTTTAGCAACTGAACTAATGTCTTGTTGAAAGCTTCAGCCAATCCATTAGCTCGAGGATAGTATATCGTACTATACCTCCAATCAATGCTATGTTTGCTAACAAATTGATTAATCTTGGTACTCTTAAAAGCGGGACCATTATCGGACATGATTAGACATGGAATGCCAAACTTGTATACGATATGGTCCTTCAAAAATTGCAGTACATGCCTAGTTTTGACTTCCCTCAGTGGTATGGCTTCAGCCCACTTTGAGAAGTAGTCGGTAGCAGCAAGTATAAACCTATGACCCTTTGAGGAAGGAGGATCAATAGGCCCAACAATATCGGTTCCCCAGCTTTCAAAAGGCCAAGAGGTTATTGTTGGATGCAAAACATTAGGTGGTTGATGCAAAACTACTCCATGTACTTGGCATTGGTGGCATTTTCGTGCTATTTCAACACAATCTTTAATCATTGATGGCCAATAGTACCCAAGCCTTTTAATTTTCAATTTCATTTTGGGGCCCAATTGATGGGTGCCACACAACCCCGCATGTACCTCGGTCACTATCTTGTGGGCTTCATCTTTTGCAAGACATCGCAACCACATTTGGTCAAATGATCGCCGATACAAGGTGTTGTTGATCAGTGAAAATGACATCGCTCTATTCTTTATTTGGTGAGCAACAGACTTCTCCTTTGGTACTTTACCATTTTGGAGATAATCAATGAATGGTTTGCGCCAATCATCTTCATCATCTACCACAAATGAAAACTCACCAAAAGGAGAAGGTTCATTCAAAATCTCAAAGTCAATAGGAGACAAAATTTGGCGATTTTGAACTTCTATTTGGATTGAACCCTTTTCAGGACACGACATCTCCTTAGCAAGCTTTGCTAGAACGTCCGCCGTAGCGTTTTGACCACGCAGTATTCTAGCCAAAGTTGCATTAGGAATTTGCTCGAACAGCTTCATGGCATATGAGTGGTATTTAAGCAAGTTGGGTTTTAAAACTTTGTAAGTTCCCGCAACTTGGTTAATTACCAACTGTGAATCGCCAAAAATTTTGATATTTTTAATTTCCATTGATATTGCTAATTCTAAACCAGTTATCAGAGCTTCATATTCCGCCTCGTTGTTTGTACAAGGGTCCGATAAACTGTAAGAATATCGCAATATAGCTTTATCAGGTGTTATGAATATCAAACCAACTCCAGCCTTACCAGGGAGAAGACTTTGTGGTTCAGTACCTCTTTGAAAAGAGGCCGCACCATCAAAATACAACTCCCAAGCAGGGCTTTCATGGTTATCCAAACTCATTATTTGTTCATCAGGAAGATCGTCGTTCAGGGGAGATCCTGCTGGTATTGGGTGTGCTGCTAGGAAATCAGCAAGAGCTTGTCCTTTTACAGCACGTTGGGGAGTGAAAGTGATATCGAATTGAAGTAGTATCATGGCCCATCTGGCTAAGCGTCCTGAGAGTGTTGGACGGGTCATGAGGTACTGAAGGGGATTGACCTTAGAGATCAGATTGACTTTATGAGAGAGCATGTAATGCCTAAGTTTTTGAACAGCGAAAATAAGGCATAAGCAATGCTTCTCAATGGAAGGGTAATTCATTTCAGTAGGAATCAGACGTCTGCTCAAGTAGTATAGGGCATTCTCTTTTCCTTCATTGTTGGTTTGGGCCAACAAAGCACCAAGAGACTCATATGAAGCCGTAGTATAAAGAATTAGTGGCTTCCACGGAATGGGAGCGGCCAAAACTGGAGGGGACAAAAGATAGCATTTTATACTATCAAAAGCTTTTTGGCAGCTATCATCCCAATAGAATTCTGAATCTTTCTTTGAAAGGGCTGCAAAGGGTTGGCATCTACCGGACAAATTAGATATAAAGCTTCTTAGATATGCCAACCTACCTTGGAAAGATCTTAATTGAGTAAGACTTCTAGGAGGTTTCATTTCTAATATCGCTTTGATTTTAGTAGGGTCGATTTCAATGCCACGATGTCGAACAACAAACCCAAGAAACTTCCCTGAAGTTACCCCAAAAGCACATTTTAAAGGATTCATCTTGAGGTCGTACCGACGAAGTCGTTCAAACACAACCCTTAAATCAAACAAGTGATCCTCTCTTTCTTTGCTTTTGACCACGAGATCATCAATGTAGCATTCAACTTTGTCATGAATGAGTTCATCAAAAATTCTGGTCATTGCACGCTGGTAGGTTGCACCAGCATTCTTAAGGCCAAAAGGCATGACCTTATAGTGTATATTCCAATGGGCGTTCTAAAAGCAGTGTATTGCTCGTCCTCCGGGGCCATTTTTATTTGGTTGTACCCCGAGGACCCATCCATAAAGGAAAAGAGACTGTGAGAAGAAGCAATGTCAATCATGAGTTCAGGGATTGGCAATGGGAATTCATCTTTAGGACATGCTTTATTCAAATCTCTAAAGTCGACACATACGCGAATCTGTCCATTCTTTTTCTTAACGGGGACAACACTGGCTAACCAAGAGGGGTATTTTTCCTCTCGAATAAAACCAGCTTCAATCAATTTTTTAACTTCTTCAATTACTTGTTGTTCAATCTCCAAACACATCCTTCTAGGAGCTTGTTTGACTGGAACAACATTTGGTTGAATGGCAAGTTTATGGACTGCTATGTCTGGATTTAATCCTGGCATTTCATCATAACTCCAAGCAAAACAGTCCTTAAATTATGTCAGGAGTACCATTTCATTGGCATCATTTTCGTTTAACAAAGTACTTATAAAAGTGGGGCGTGGATTTTCTTCAGTACCCAAATTAATTTCTTTAAGTTCATCAATCGTTGATTAGATTTATTCCTAAAATTCAGGGGGTGCATCCCTAATTTGAAGGTAATCTGGGTCGTTGCTAGCCTCTAAACATAACCTCTCAACAACATTGTAGGTTTCTGTAAAGATCATATCAACTTCCAGATTGTTGGTAATAACCAAACAGTACTCATCATCATCTATTGGTCCGACAGTGCCAAAGCCAAACGCCATATTTATTTTTCTTTAATTTGTATTTGGCATTCCATATATTTTCATGTTGTTTGGGCTTCGCCTTTGGACCACATAGAAGGAGCAAAACCTCTTTTAATCAAACTTTTTACACTAGCGGGATACCAATCAAAAGGTAGTTCTACCATTTCATTCAAAGAAAGATCCTCAAGTTCTACACCCACTTCTGAACTTGAGGGTTGATGTGCTTTATAAAAGACACGATCCTTCCCCACATCTTCTTCTAACTTAGGTGCAACACAAACATTCAAATCTTCTACTGTGCTTTCAGACAAAGAAGTTAAGGTCTTTACATACTCATTTAGCTTTTCAAATGTAGTGAAATTGGACACCTCCTCTTTCTGAGAGTTGTCCCCATCACATTTGACTCAGCTTTTGTATTGGACCCTGATCCTACATGGATGATGGGCCTTCTAGGAGTAGGTGGTGGAGGTGAGGCTTTGGTGGCCCTCATCCTCCACCCATCTTGACTTCTACCTCCTCTGCCACGATCTCTCCCACGAGCACGTTGTGCCAACCTACCTCCTCGTTGTGTTGAAGGAGGAGCAGGATTTCATCTAATCTTTTCTTCAAGCTCCTCTTAAAGGTGCTCTTGGACAAGTGTTGGAGACTTTTCTTTTGGTGCACTAGTTCCCACTTGATCTTCAGTTGGTACCACAGATCTAGAAAACACTGATAGCCTCTTTGGAACATAGTAAGAAGCATCTTCGTATTTCCCAACTTCATGCACACTAAATGGTTTCAAATCTCCCTTTATGCAGTACTCTACACCATTCCTTTCATATTTCATGCATTGGTGAAGAGAGGAAGGAACCATTTTGTTTTCATGGAGTCAAGGCCTACCAAGAAGTGCTTTAAATGAAGTTTCAGAATCAATGATATGGAATTTAGCCTCAGTTCTCAAATCCCCAATCAAAAGAGAAAGAGTGACAGAGCCTAAAGCCCTTTGCCCCTTTTCATTGAAGCCACGCAACATCATTTTGTCAGAACTTAGTTTTTGCGTGTCAACATTGAGATGGGCCAAAGTTCTTAGGCTCATTATGTTGACCGATGCACCCGGATCAACAAGCACTCTATTCAACTTGAAGTTGTCAATGTCAACAGTTATGTAAAGTGGGCGATTGTGATCTGAAGTACCTAGAAGTAAATCCTCATCAGAAAAGGTTACTCCAGGTATTCCTTTGAAGTGTAAAGCCTCCTCAAAGGAACACTCTGCGAGTTGAGCCAAACAAATTTCAGGATCAAGTAAAGCCTTGACCAAAGCCTCTCGCATTTCCGGAGAAAACACGAGAGCATCATATATGCTCAACCTCGCAGGTAGTTTTCTAAGGTGAGCTAGCACATTATAGTCCACTTTTGGTGGTCCACCACCCACTTTCTCTTGTGGAGCAAGTGTTGATGGAACCACACCCTCATTTTGGTTGATAGGTTCTTTTCCCTTATCTTTTTTGGATGTCATTGGAGATGGTACAACACGACCACTTCTGAGATTAATTTATGTTATCTCTTCAGGCTCAGAAGTTGAGGTCACGTCAACCAAAACCTCAGAATCTGATTCTTCTTTAACTTGATTTGTCTCTAAATCAGGTGACTCAGGCTCAATGACAATCTGTACTCCCTGTATTTTGTACATGGGTAGATCATCATCAGAACTAAATTCACATGATTCAGGCAATTGAGAAGACTCAGACACAGATTATTCATTTTCAGATTCAGAATGGACAGATAGCATGTACGCTGAAGGATTGTTCATTTCACTAACACCCTTTGGAACATACATGAAATCAGAAAGGGTAAGAGGCTTGGGGGATTTCCCCTTGCCATTTGGAAGGACAACTTGCTTGATTTTGGAGAATGGTTCTTCTTTTTCCTTTCCCTTCACCATTGACACTCTCTTTTTAAGAAGTTTCAAAGGTGAAGGACCCTTTCCCTCCATTGAGTTATTTGGAGGAACTCCAAATGCCTTTTTTATGGGCATTTGAGTTTCTTTTGAAAACTTCAATGGGGTGTTGAGTAACTTGTTTAGCATTTTCAAGGAAGATCTGGACAAAGACAACTTCCAACCCTCTGCATCTGTAAGCAACTCAACACTGCCCTTCTGGTTGAACACAGTTGGAGGGGAAACTGTAGTGGCTGACTCTGCTTTCTGTCCCTTGGTAGGGATGACCTCCACAAGAATAACCTTAGCGGACCCTTGTGAGGGGTTCACTAGGTATGCATTAGGAATTCTTATCCTACCAGACTTGTACTCACTTTCAACCCAATCTTTAAAGACAGCAATCTTCTAGAACATGACCCAACATTCTATGATAAGGGCAATAGTTTGGCTCATTGCTCTTATCAACATCTGCTGGTCTTTTGGGTTTAGGGAGTTAGAAATTGTCATCTTGAATCAAGGATTTGGAGATTTTCTTTGTAGCATCTCTCTTAAAAGAGTATTGTTGGTTGATCTTTTCTGTCAATCCCCTAGGATCTGTCTTTTTGGCTACCCTTTCCTTATCCTTTCTAGGCTGCTGCTCAGTGATCTTTCTAGGCTGTTGTTGCTAAGTGATCTGAATCTGCTTCCCCTTTTGAAAAGATAATGCTGACACACTGCCCTTTCTTTCAACTGCTTTCTGTTTGAATTTCTTGGCTTGGTCACCATTACTGTTATCTTTAAGGAATGACAACTGAGATGCTTCAGATTGCAAGCCAGAAGCTTTACTAATCAATTTTTCAAAAGTCCTAATAGTGAACCCTTTGAGAATGAGTGCTATAGGACCATGAATATTTCTTAGTAAAATTTCTATGGCGTGCTGTTCTTGGAGTTGTGGTTCACATTTTAGGCTAAGATTCCTCCACCTAAGAATGTAATCCACCAACCTCTCATTTGGCTTTTTCCTCTCCACCACAAGGTCCACTGTAACGTGATGTTGGGCCCCTGCAAACCTCTTTACAAACAAGGATTCCAACTCTAAAAAGGTCTTTACTGAACCATTTGGTAACTCAGCGTACCAGTCAAAAGCCACCCTTGAAAGACTGCTCACAAACTGTCTGAAGAGGAGAGCGTCACTGCCACCCACATTACAACACCCAGCTCTGAAGTGAGCTAAATGTTGACGTGGGTTTCCTATACCATTGAAGAGCTTGAAGGAAGGGGAAACAAAACCTTTGGGGTACTGTACCAAGTCAAACTCCTCGGGATAAGGTCTTCCTCTTTGAATAGAGTGACCTCCTTTCCCCTGTGTTATTGACTCATTAATCTGCTGACTAATAAAATCCTTCAAATCTTCCTTTGAAGGTTGGAGATTCTCTGACCCAGGTTCATTCTTCTCCTGACTACCAATATCTTCATCAACTTGTACTACCTCCTTAGCTTTTTCTGCACTAGTGGAGGGTTTATCAATTGTGTTTGGGGTCTTTTTGGGACCCAAAAGATGAGTAGTAAGGGCAGTCATGGCTGAAGCCATCTCATCTAACCTTTTAGACATCTCACTAAGCTGAGTATCTTTTTCTTTTAACTACTGAAGCAAGGCACGGATTTGGGGATTTTCACTCCCTTCCTCCTCCACTGGCACCTCCAACAACTCATCTGTATGAGGGTCTCCTGGAAGAGAGGATCCTCTTTTGCTATAATGGAGAACATAGATATCCTCCTCATCCATAAGATCGTCCTCATCAGGATTAAAATTTTCAATCAACTTTTTATAATTTTCCTCTTCCTCCTTGTCTCTCCTTTCATCCTCATCGATCTTTCTAAGGCTTTCTTTCAAGTAATCCATCATTTCTTCAATGGTTTTGCCTGTTGAAGGGTTGACATGAGAAGGATGATATTCTTCGTAACTGTTCACCTCCATTGGTGCTTTCGCTTTATCATCAGTATCAACATGAGTGGAAGAGGAAGAGTGTACTTTTGATGGAGCCACCACCTTGGGTCTCCATTCTTCCTTCACCCCAGATGAGGATGTATGGGATTTTTGGTGTCCCAAGTTTACCTCATCTAAAGGTGGAGTCTGAATGTGACTCCCAGAATGTGGCTCATCATGAGGAGTAGGAGGTCGGTCTTCTTTTGGAGACCTAAACCTAGTAGGTACATCAGATCTAACAGAACTAGAAAGGAAAGTTTGAGGGACCACTCGGCGATCAGGGTGATCAACCTTTGGTCTGCCACGAACCTCAGGTAGC